GTATCACAGCTCCTGGCTGACCCGGCTGCTCTCAGACACACCCTCTTCTGCAAAGGCACTCACATGTTGTCTGTTTATGAGGGATACAGTGGGAGTCCATGCATGGGAGTCCTTCCTACAAATACCAAAGAGATAAGCTGAGGACGTGGTCTAACAGGGACAAGAGGAGAAGAAATACGCATTTTGGATAAATGTGTGCTTTTTAAAAGAAAGGACAATCAATATAGTAGTTTAAAAAAATTGATTAAAAAGTGAGGAATTCCGGTAAAATTATCAGTAAGGAGCAAGGTGCTGCAGGACACTGCAGGAGGACAGGAGGCGGTGAGAACAGGGCAGCCTGCGTGTCTGCTCCCCGCCCGCCTGGCCCGCGCCTTATCCCTTCCTGGGACACTCTCGTCTCCACCCCCTGCTGCTTCAGGCTGGCTTCGTGGCCCCCCCCACGTGTGGGTCAGGGGTGCTGCCCTGATTCTTCCTGTCCCCGAACCTCCCACACCTCAGTGCCAGAGGTGGACCCCGGGGACTGCATCTCTGAGGCGCCCCTGTCACTTGGCTTCTGGTTGGGGTCAGCCAAGGGGAGGCACTGGACAGGCTGAGGGGAGAAGGCCCAGGTACTACGAACTCCCTCCTTGCTCCCCGCTGCTTCTCTGACAGCAGCTGCACGTCTGTGACTCAGACACCCCCCCCACCCCCAGCGGCTTCACCGCGGGGGCTCCAGCTTTCTCAGGAACAGAGTATCTTCCTCTGGTCTTTCCGCCCCAGGGGAGGGAATGGCTTCCTTCTGTCCCAGGCCTTGAATGCTTCACCGTCTCTGCGATGCTCCCGACTGTGCCCATGACACTGTCCTTCCATTAACGTCCCCACCAGGACCCTGACTGAGGCCGATGACGCCGTCCCACTGTGGGCCGTGAGATTGTGTCAGGCTGACCGCAAGAGGATTCTACCCACTAGCAGGCCAGCTTGTCCCAGGCAGAGCGGACGGGATTTGGCAGGCAGTCCTGAACCTCACTGAGTTCTCGTTAGGACAGAGTTTGTGTCCGGTATCATAAAAATGATCATTTCACAGGGAGACAGAGGCATCAGAGGGAAACCATTCATCGTTGCTCACTGCTGACCCCTAGTGGTGGGAAGCGGCAGGCCCGGGGGAGCAGCCCCCTGGGCACCCTGAGCAGAAACAGGGCGCCCCCTGTGCTCCTCTCTGGGGACCGCAGGCCGCCTCCCCTGCAGGCTCCTCCTGGACACCTGCCACCCCCTCTGCTCTGGGTATGTCCTTCCTGCTGCAGCCCCACAAGGCCACAGCCACGACCCTCCGCTGGGCGCAGAGCGAGTCTGGGTGTGGCCGCCAGACAAACCACGTGGGGAAGACCCAGGGGCCCCGAGCAGGTGCACACGGAGCAGCCGGGATCCACACGCACCCCCGCTCCTGCGTCCTGCCTGATGGCTCGGCCCTTCTCCCCCTGCACCTTCAGGAGCCGACAGCGCCGAGGGCCAGGCATCTAAGGCAAACCCACTGCCTGCTGTCTGAGTGATCTGTGTGCGCCCACGGGGGCCTCTCTCCCAGGGAAAGGAAACAGTCCTGGTCCTTCTCCCGGGGCTTGTGGGGACCAGGGCTGTGGCCCGGGAGGGAGCAGAACATGGCCCCCCAGGCACAGCAGAGCCTCTGTGCACTGACAGAGCTGCTGTGTCTGGATTCAGACCTCCTATCTTGGAAGCCTCCTTGGCCCCATGGAGACTGTCTCCCCAAGGAGGCTCTCACGGCACCTCATATGTGCACCGTAGTCTGCTTTTCTGACGACCGCCCTAATACTGCTCCGTGAGTGTCAGGAAGTGACAGGTGAGCTGGCCGCCCTGGGAGGGGCAGGCTTCGGGCTCCACATGCAGCTGCCTCCAACCGTCTCTGCCCCAGGTCCAGGCTGTGCTTGCTACACGGCCTGCAGACACAGCTTCTGGCTCTTCCCCGACCTCAGGCAGATCTACATTTACCTGCAGGTGAGTCCTGTCACTTCCAGGGACTGTTTGGGGGGAGACTCTCCCTGTCCCTTGGGGCGGACCGACCCCCTGGGCATGAAGCCACACGGACCCCTGAGAGGTTTCTCATCCCACCCCTGCTTATCTAGACCCTCTGGGAGACCACTGGGCTCTGGGCCTCAGATATGGGACTGAATTCCACCTCCGGGGTAGACTGGGGTAACTTAGCCCAGGGTCACACACTCCAATGCCTCCCTGAAATGTCATTTCTGTCACAGGACAACATTTCACATGTGGAGGTGGGTAGCCAGCTTCCTCTGTCCTGGTCTATGGGACTCTGGGTGAGGGGCTGGGGGCAGAGGGGGTGAAAGACAGGAGGTGCCCCTCTGTCTGAGGCAGCCACCCTCCTCCTCGCTGACCAGCCTCAGGCAGTAATGTGACCCCCATGTAGCTGAAGTTTCCAATTTTCCACAAGAAACCCAATATTCAAGTTTTTAGTGGAATCTTCTGAGGTATGAATGTCGGCAGCTAATCCTATTTTCCTCCCCCACACCCACTCCTGCACACAACACAACAGGCCCCAGGTTTCAAACGCCTCTGCCTGAGGCAGACACGTTATGTCTCTGAGCCCCCCAGTTCCTTCTCTCCGAAGTGGGTTATGACACAACCTCAAAACGTCGTGAGAATCCAGTGAGACGACACGTGTGCAGGACCCGGACCCAGACCATGTCAACCTCACACACCACTTTCTACGCTTCCCGGCTTCCAGGTTTTACTGTGGTTTCCCCAGAGACCAGCCACTTTGCCGGCTGGACATCCTTTTGGTATCCCCTGGGCCTCCTCTCCTGTCTTTCCAGCATTTGTCACTTTCTCCAGTCTTATGAATCCCTGAGGGGATTTCCTTTTACACAAGTGACCACGGAGAGCAGAGCTCTGCCTCCCGACAGAACAAAGCTGTCCGCTCCCCCAGAGAAGGGAGTACAGTTCGGCTCCTTCTGGTAGCAAAGCCAGCATCCACGGGGATGCTGGGAGACCAGGAGGATTCTGGAATGGACTCACATGGGACACAAGAGAGGGCGGTATTTACCTCCTAACAGTCCTGTTGGGGAAGCCAAGCCCCACCAACCTGCTATCCTGAGAGAAATTCGCAGGTTCAGCCTGGAGACGCAGCTCTGAACCAGGGGTGGTCAAGAGAATAGGAGAAGCAGCCTCCCTAGGGGACCCGCTGCGTCTCTGTGCTGACCGTGGCTGGCGTGGCTTCTCTGGTCCAGAGCGGACATGGTCCTGCCAGAATCTTCCGTCACTGAGTCCCACGACCCAGTCTCTCTCGGCCCTGGCTGAAGGACGCCGCCACACTCGTGACCCTGGCCGATAACACGGCCTTCCTGAGCCACAGTTTATCAAGAATCTACTTCCAGATTCTTCTACATGTGGAAGATGAATGGAGACAGTACTTCTCAGGGATGAGGGTTGAGAAGGAGATAAAATCTCACCTTCTCGGGAACCCACATGTCACTTGATGTGTGGCTGGTTCAGTGTAGCTCCTGGGCTTTGGGGGCATAACCTTCATACCAAATGAGGACTGATGAAAATTCCAGATCAGAGCTCTAAATAGATCTCTCTGTTTCAGTCTGTCCGCCCTAACTCTCCACCCCCGCCCCATGTCTCTTCCCCCACACCGCGCGCGCGCGCGCGCACACACACACACACACACACACATACTCCGCAGTGGCTCAGTCTGGAGGGAGCTTACCCCACAGCAGCAGAGAGCTGGCTCCCTCTAGGGGTGATACCGAATTCTGCCAGGAAAGCTGACCCTTCACTATCAACACAGGCTGGTCCACACAGATGGTGAAGCTAATCATTAAATGGGGAACACTACTGGCTCTGGAAAAGGTGTAACCCATTTTACATCCCCAAACTGGATCAAGATTGCAGTGGAAAATGGAAAACATGTGGTTTAAACTAGGTGTCACATGTACCACATTTCACCCAGTTCCTGGCACACAGCTAATGCTCAGTAAGAATTAGAAACGTATGTTGACAGTATGATAATCTTTCTAATTGGAAATTCATTTTGGCTCATATTTCTTCCCCAACTTTTTTCTACTCCTGTGCTCAGGGAAAAAAAACTGAAAGGGGCATGTAAATCTCAGTCAACTGTCCCCCAATGCAACGAGTGCTCTCCAGACATCTCTCCTTACAGAGAGAGGAATTACACAGAAAAAACTTAAAATTTCAAAACATTTGTTTTCAACCTGAAGGAGGCATAGGACACCTTTGTCGTATCACGTACAGAAATGCGTCTGAAGCCCAAAACTTCAAAACTGACATTGTGTGGGAAACTCTTTGAAGAACTCTATTCTTTTTTTTTTTTTTTAATTACTTATTTGAACGAAGGCCTCTATCCTTACCTGTGCAAAATGGAATTCCCTCACTCGAGGGCACTTAGGAGAAATAACATCTCAGGTGGTACAATTCCCTCATGCTTCCTGTGGGTGCTTCTCAGGCATCCACAGGCCACCATGTGCTTCTCGCCTGTGGGTTCTTCTCGTCTGTGGATGAGAATCCCCCCACAACTGTGTCTGCAGAAGGAGGGGGAGGACAGCAAAGCCCGCCTCCCAGTCAGGCTTCATGTGAGTGGATGGACAAACCATGACATCATTAAGGAGCCTTTCAAAAACACCAACCAGTGTTGAGATGCCCAGGAGTGGAGCTTCCCCGGGAACCCAATGTTGCTGCTCTCCACTGGGTGTGCCCAGCTTCTTTCTTCCAAGAAGAAAGCCTAAGGGGAAGGGCCCGTTCTGGGGCCAGTATTGGATCTGTGCAACCTGAAACCTGTGTTCGTCCAAGCTCGGTGTGTCTCCAAGGGCTGCTTCGCGGAGTAGAATACGACACCATTCTGTGATTGGCACATTTTCCATTTGGACCTCTGTGTCCGTGACCGTGATTTTGGGGAGGCCCTGGCCTTGCTATTCCTGGGTGATCTGGGATCGCAGGCCAAGAAGCAAATGGACACAGGAGCCAAAGCTGGGCTAGACACCTAGAGCCAACAGGGCAGTGAGATCCGGTTACCAAGGGCCAGGGAACCAACACAAAGCCACCACTCACTCTAGACCTTGACACGGGACAGCACAAAAGCCAGCACCTCAAGCAGAGACAGGAGCCGGGGTGGAGGCGCCTACCTGCGGGCTTGGATGCCAGCGGGGAGGGCGGGAACCTGGTGGAGCTGGCGGAGGACAGTCTGGGCCGGCGTCTCCGGAAGAAGCTTCTCAGCAGCCCACACCTGAGCGATTCCACCAGCGTGGTCTTCCCGGAGCCCGAGTGGCCAAACAGCTTCAGTTTGATCCTGGATTGGAGGTTCTGCGTGGGTCGCAGCTGCTGGATGAAGAGTCCCCGGTGAGCGTCCTAAACACGGGTGCAGGGGGCCCAGTTAGTCACAGAACAAGAGAAGGCTCTGAGCAAATGGCCAGCGCGGATGCTCCCAGTTTGGAACCCCCTCGCCGTGTCCTGCCCGATCCGGGATTTCTTTGTGAGGAGAAGTTTTAAGAGTTACTGTCTTAGGAACTTTCACACGTGCCATGCAGTGTTAGTAACTGTGGTCCCGTCGTGTACAGTACATCCCGGCACTCATTTTCTAACTGGAGGTTTGTAGCCTGGTCGGCGATTCTTACCCATGGTGCACAGAGGTTTCGTGGAGTCCTATCGTAGCCACAAAAAAATTCATGTAAAGTGCAAGTAACATACAATTCCCTGTTTCAGCCATTTTAAAGAGGCCTGAAGCTCCAAGGTGTTACTACACGTACGATGTGTGCAACCAGCCCTGCTCTCTGGTTCTGGAACATTCCATGACGTAAGGAAGCTGAGCCCATCAGCAGTCACTCCTCCCTCCCCCGCCAGCCCCTGAAAACCGCCTATCTGCTCTCTGTCAACAGCTTGCGCCCAGGTCCATGGCATTTTGATGCACAAGGAATTGGTTGGAGCAACTCCTGTGAGGTCGCTGATTACCAGGAGAAACAGGGTTGGCCTGTCCACCTGGCCAGGGGCGCCTGCTGCTTTCTGCTTGGAGGGGTCCTGCTTCCCCGGCACCGTGACTGTACCAGATGCTGAGAAGGAGGGCATCACCAGGTACAAAGACAAATACGGTGGCGGGGTGGGCCCTGATAACCTTCCCCCTGTCCAATCTCTCATCCCTGTAGGGAGAAGCAGGCAAACTCACAGACTCACTCACTCCCTCACTCGTCAGCATTTACAGAGGCCCCCGTGGGCTCCGTACAGTGCAGGGAATAGGAAGGTCCAGACTTGGCCCAGATCCGTGTCCTGGGGAGACACAGGTATGTGAACACTGACACCAAACACAGCAAGAGTGCTTCTGCGGGGATGCTATGGGCAGGGGCCCTGGGGACCCAGATAGACCACCTCGAGGCTACATAGTGAAGCGTCCCTCCCATGCCCTTGACTCCATCCTGCCTCATAGACAGCCTCGTTATCCACCCCCAGCCTGATCCTGGCTCCAGAACAGGGGCCCACTGGAGCTGTGGGGTACAGCCTCAGGAGGATTCCTTCCCCGACCCAGGATGGTCCCACTCTCTAACCTATTGACGTCCGGCATCCAGGGGACACCTCCTGCTGGGATCCCTTCTAGAACATTCTTCCCTGGGAGGCTCTGGCCCAGGTGGGGCTCTCCATTGTGACTCCACCAGACTGTAGGGTGGTGTGGGACGCTCTCCTCGTCTCGACTGGGAGCCAACTTAAGGGCAGAGACAGTGTCCCCAGCACCTGGAAGGCAGGTACTCAATAGAGAGGTGTGCGAGAAATGACAGGACTCAGGGGGACCCCGCAGGAGCCTCTGGGAGGGAACTGCCTGCTCTTGGTCTCCTGGGACCTCAGGTCTGGCAGACACTACGTCCACTTCCAAACCTGGGGAGGGGGGTTTCCTGCTGCTGTCCTCCCGCTGAGCCACTGTGGCTTTCTCCACCACCCAGCAAGCTTACCTGCTAGACACAGCTCTGCTGAGGGCTCCCTGTCCTCCCCCAGTCTGTGTGTGTGACAGGGACTCTCCTTCTCCACGCCACAACACTGCCCCCTAGCGGGCATGGTGGAAATGGGTAGCGGCTTTCACAATGAGAAGGGAGCTGGGGGAAGTGCATAGGACTTGTGCCCCTATGATCATACAAGGTCCCAGCACCTGGAATTCTCCTGAAGCCGCCTGACTTCTGAATGTCTGCTGAGCATTTATGCAGGAGAAAAACCAGTTCATGATTATCTGAGCTTAGGACACCTGCATTTTACATAGAACGATGGTTTGGGGGAGAACATGGTTTAATACATGCTAATATTTCCAAGAATGTAACTTTTTAATAAATTGGTAAAAGAATATATATATCGGTATAGATATCTTTACTGAGCTCTGTCCCTTACTTTTGAAAATCATGTCACCATGTTCCTGCCATGTTTGAGTCACTATCCCAGCCACCGGTGTAAAAAGGGGGCCCTAGACAAGCTTCCTACCTGCCCCACAACTGGGACCCTGTGACATTCAAACACACCAGTGAATTCCCCTCATGCCTTTCCTGCCATACCCCATCTAATCTCCAATAAGATCCTTTGCCAGGGCTCCTCTCTGCTTCTCTCACTTGGATGGGCTCCCACCCTGTGACCACCGTCTGTTCAGACTCTCTGAGCCTGTGAGGTAAGAAACACCGTGTAAGAAACTCCTCCCCTCTGCCTGTTTCTGCACCCGCCCCAAGGTGACCAGCTCAGAGAAGAAGGCAAAGCAGCAGGTCGGGCAAGAAGCCCGCACCTTGATGTTTCCTCTTAGCAATTTCCGTCCACCGACCCACCTGCTCCATGACTCAACTTCCCCAATTGTCCTTGCTAAGGTCCAAGCTGAGCCACTCTCTCTCCTGGCTACAAACCCCACTGCAGGCCCTAGAACACAGTGTGCCTCACCATTCCAGCAGGGGTCAGAGCGCTGGATTGCCAATCCTAGTGTGCGCTCGCTGGAAGAACCTTAAAGTAGGAAATCTTTTTTAATGACCTCATTCTTCAGAACTCTCTCTCTCTCTCTCTTTCTCTCTCTTTTTTAAAGATTTTATTCATTTATTTGACAGAGAGAGACAGTGAGAGAGGGAACACCAGCAGGGGAAGTGGGAGAAGGAGAAGCAGACTCCCCATTGAGCAGGGAGCCTGATGTGGGGCTCGATCCCAGGATGCTGGGATCATGACCTGAGCCGAAGCTTAACGACTGAGCCACCCAGGCATACCCAGAGCTCTCTCGATTGAGCTCTCATAGTTTGGTCATAGAAATTCGCTTGCATTCCCAGCCCAATGGTGCCTGATCAGTCAGGCTAATTATAAGCCAATTTCAATTATGTTTCCTCACCTTATCCCTTGAGTGCTTCTTCTGTCCATATCACCATCCACATCGCAAAATGCTGCTAAGTAGAAACTGCTCTCTTCTCTCCCTCCTGTCCCATTTCCAAGTATGACCCTGTGGAGGGCTGCAGGCCCTGAAATTTAGCATCATGGTAGAACAGGAAGTCCCATAGATTCTCTAGCAAAACCCTCTTTAAAAATATGTTTCTAGGGTGCCTGGGTGGCTCAGTCGGTAAGCATCTGCCTTCAGCTCGGGTCATGATTCCAGGGTTCTGGGTCCCACATCGGGCTCCCTACTCAGCAGAGAGCCGGCTTTTCCCTCTCCCACTCCCCCTGCTTGTGTTCCCTCTCTCACTGTGTCTCTCTCTGTCAAATAAATAATAAAATCTTTTAAAAATATAAAATGAAATAATAAAAATATGTTCCTAATAACATGGAGGACATTAGGAGAAGGAAAGGAAAAGTGAAGTGGGGGAAATCGGAGTGGGAGACAAACCATGGGAGACTGTGGACTCCCGGAAACAAACTGAGGGTTTCAGAGGGGAGGGCGGTGGGGGGTGATGGGTATTAAGGAGGACATGCATTGCTCTGAGCACTGGTTGTTATATGCAAACAATGAATCATGGAACACTACTAATGATGTATTGTATGCTAACTAACATAATATAATAAAAAAAATGTTCCTAGACTTGTCAGCTGATTAGAAGTGAAAACAATGGGGCGTTTCTGTTGCCAGTCTAGCCCATTTGCATACCTCTGGAATGACAAAGCAATTTAAGACCACCCCCCCTTCTGTGCAGATACAGACTTCTCCCCAGGAATGTGTTTAGGATCCACATGAGGGGGTCGAACAGATGGTGGCTCACCCCAGGGTGTCAGGAAATGCATGGAGGTGATATTTTTTATTTCACAATGAATGGGAGAGGGGAGGCAACGAATGGAGCTGCTTGGGGTCCTTATGCCCAGCAAGGTCAAGAAGTCCCACCAGCCCCAAAATGCCTCCCTCCCCCAGAGAAACATTGGAAACATCAAAGAGGAAATGACATGGGAAGGAAATGGGACAAGAGGCTCCTTAGTAGAAACTGCCCTCTTCCTCTCCCTTCTCCGACCTCACAGCTTGCGATCACTCTCCTCTGCCATGTGATGTGAGTTACAACAGCAAACACGTCCACTGTCTTGGCTTCTCTGTGGGGATTGCTGCCCCTGTGACAACCTACCATATGTCCCTGCTGACCTATTCTCCAGGTCCTTCCTGTGACGTCTCAGTCATTTTCAAGAAACAGATTCCAGTACCAGTTATCCCTAGACCCCAAGCAGCTACTTATTTGGAAAGTGATTGATTGACGGATTGATTGATTTTTTTTAAAGACTGTGGTTAGAAACACATGGCAGCCAACTCCCCCCTGTCTGGCTCATCAGGAAGCCGGGGTCTAGGGCCCTTTGAGGGAATGACTGAGGCAACCAGACTCGCGGGTCTCACTGAACACGGAGTCGAGGAGATGCTCCTGAATGGAGCAGGACCTGGTGAACCCAGGAAGGAGGTCAGGGGCTTACTACACAGCAAGTGAGCTCAGATCCGGAGAAGAACCCCCCTCCCCATAGCTGAGGAGGGATCAGCACAGATGCCTTGAGCCCAATGAAGGGCACAGGAAACAGACAAAATCAATTCAGTGGATCTAAACGGGGATGGGTCGGGGGGTTGCTGGGTGGCTCAGGCTCTGATTCCCGGGTCCTGGATCGAGCCCCGTCCTGGCCCAGGGGCTCCCTGTTCAGTAGAGTCTGTTTCTCCCTCTCCCTCTGCCCCTCCCTCTGCTTGTTCTCTCTCTCCCTCAAATAAATAAATAAAATCTTATTTTAAAAAAAGTGAATCCTCACAGTCAAACCTGTGTTGTTCAAGAGTCAACAGTATTACACAAAATTTGGAGAAAATACATTAACATTTAAAGCAAAAAGTGTGAATCACACTAGTAAAATTTCAAACACCACTGTTAACACTTTGTTTTTATGCTTTAAAAAAAAAAAAAATTACAATGTGCACATAAGATTATCTTCTGCTTTGAAGCCAGGAAGAAATTAAGCATTAAAGTCCAGTGGCTAAAACCTCTTCAAAAATAATGGTCAAAACCTGCTTATCCTATAGCTGTATAAGAATTTACCAGTCATTGTTGTTGCTCTGTTTTTCATTTTTATAACTGTATTATAAATAACACTGCTATGAATATCTTTCTGCATAAAACTTTTTTCCCTACATTTTTCATTTCTTTAGGATAGAGTGCCAGACATGGAGTTCCTAGCTTAGAGGGTGTGAATATTTCGAAGACTCCTGATACACATTCCTATGATGTGGGCTAGAAAGACACCCCTGCATTTACTTGTTTGTGTCCTGTTTCCTTAAACCTTAGAGCAACAGTGTTTCCTAAACCCGAGCATATCATGTGACATCTTGGAGCTCAAAACATTAAGAAAGAAAAGAAACTGTCAGCTTTCTCATTTCCTGTTTACTTTATGGGAATAGTTATTACAGAAGGGGTGGGAGGAGGGAAACCAGGCACAGAAACTGTAAGGAAGCCAAATGATTTCCAAGTCCAAACACAGAAGAAGAAACCGATGGGTAGCTGATGCATTTATGCTAACTGTATTCAAACCACAGGACAGGGAGAGATGCCTTTCCTACAGCCTGTGTGTCCAAAGCCTCATTTTGTTCAACTCATTGTACAAAACGAAAAAGATAGAATTTTTCCCATAAAAACAATATCAGGCCAAAAAACAGAATTTCTCACCTTTCGGAGTCTTGCAAGCAGACCTGCTACGTGTTCGTGCTGCTCTGATTTAGCGAGCTCTTCTGCTGTCTTCCCGTCCTGTTGGAGAAAAACCATTAGTGTCTTTCTTTCATGGGAGAGCTGTTTGTTCCATCCACTGGTTCTGCTGTCAGAGGCCGAAACAAGCGTTAACAGGCCTTAGAAACAAAAAAGGTGGACACTATGTCCTCGATTCTTTCCCTTTCTGTACAGTCCTTGTTTCATTTCCTTATTGGTTCTGCAGGGAGGGAAGGTGAGAATTAAAGAAAAAAAAACATGTGCACAGGTGTCTGGAAGTCCATCCGTGAGATGTCTCAGACCCACCGGCTTTCCTCACACTTGGCACCTCACGGGCGTGGGGGTGGGGGGATGACCCCAGACGCTGCACCTCCCTCCCAGAAAGCCGACGATGCAGACTTTCATAGATGCCAAAGTCCAGCTGGTGCTAGCTAGTGTCTGAAATCCCTTCCACGGACAAACCTGAGCACTCACGGAGGATGTAGTTACTGGAAACTTCTGTGCATTTCAAAGAAAAGCCTTAGTTTTACAGACGATTTTGATGTAAAGATTTTCAGTGAACACAAGAGGAGGAAGTCAGAGATAACGGCACCTTTTAAGGAGAGAATTTTCACAAGGCTGCCGTTTCACAGCGAGCAAATTCACTTCCACTTCCGCGCCGGCAGTAAGCAGGAGCCGGGCTGACACGGAGCGCCCCGATCACCACGCGCCCGGTCCAGGCGGCCTGCTGTGCCCGCACGTGCGCTCGGGGGCCCTTGCGGGTGGGGACCTCCGGCTGCTCATCCGTGGGCCACCGAGGGGGAAACAGAGGCTGAGGGGCTGTTCTGCTCCAGTTTTAAAGTCGTTACTAATTCGGAGTAGAAAAGGCGAGGCCATTTCTGTGCAAATAAAAGCAATCTCTTTTCAAGGATACCAAGAAGCATTTCGATCCCTCTCCTGCTCAGGGCTGCTCAGCACAGGTTACAGCTGCATTCCCGAGGAAGCTCGGGCTGTCGGAGTCTCACGGACAGCACATCTTCCAGTTTCTCCTGCGTGGGGCTTCATGAGACCAGTGTTTCTCAGCCTCCGCACTGCTGACATTTTGGACCAGATCATGCTCTGCTGTGCGGGGCGGTCCCGGGGAATTGCAAGGTGTTGAGCGCCTCTGTCTCTGGTCTCTGCAAGGACCGTCCTCCCCGATTCCTGACAACTCCAAGAGTTTTCAGACATGGCCCAGGGCTCCGGGGGGCGGGGGGGGGGGCGAAATCACCCCAGCTGAGAATAGCCGCCTTAGGCTGAAGCTGGAGGCTCACGTGAGAGCTTTACAGTGCGCGCCCCCCCTCTGCTCTCCCTTAGGGATCCCGGGTGTCTCCAAGGGGACAGTCATCTTGTTGACCTGCAGGGGGCAGCAGAGGACAGGCCAGAGCAGAGGGAGAGGCTCCTTGGGTCCTTAGCACACGTTTTTATATATATATTTAAATAGAAAGGAGAAGGAATTCCTCTCTAGAGAGTACATGGCCAGCGTTGTTTTCACGGAAAGACAGGTCTTTGTTGCTCTTGTTTAGACGTCAATGTGAGCATCCACGAGGCACCTGCCCACGGTGCCCCGGCCTCATTCCCCCAGCATCTCAGGTAGAAGGTGACACCGCTGCAGGTGAGGAAGGCCTGTGGGAGAACTCAAAAGACCCCTGCCCCGTGGCGTGTGGCAGTCCGTTGTCGTTTGCGCATAGCGGATGATTTTCACATTTAGATCCTGGTTTGATAACTTCCAGTCTGTGAGGTCTAACAAAGAAGGTGAAGGAAGCAAGATTTCCTGCAGTGATTTCACATTGTGATACAGTTTTAAATAGCTATGAGGAACGTGTCCTAATTCTGTCCTAAGAAGCATATAATTTTAATTTTATGACATCTATCATTTATCTACTTACATAGTGTGTAAATGTGTATATCAATAGAGTTATTTTTACTTAATCTATAAGGCATAGTCTTGGAAGTTGCTGGTTTGCCTTTTCTTTCTTGTTCTTTCCTTTTCCTTTTATTTTATTTTTTTATAAATAAAATGTTTCTTGTTGCATTAATTTGTTGAACTTTCATTCAAAAGGGATCCTTTATCTCTGTTCTGTTTTCCTCCTTTGGTACCCACAAAGCAGACAAACCACACTGAAGTCCAGAAAGTCCTAACCTGTACCCCCATATGGAAACACCTAGCTTATTCGGGGGTTGTTATTACCAAAATTGGGAATGGAAGGGGAAACGGGAAGAGCCCAAAGGATTTTCACATTTGTTCTCACAAAGAAAGGAGTCCCTTCCGTTGTCCTTGAGTGACCCAAACACATGCCGAATCCTGGAGTCCTAGTGTAGGCACTCGGGAAACTTTGTACAGATGTGCGGGGAACGGCCTGCAAGAGTGAGAGAAAATCTACAGCAGAAGATGTACAGCTCCCGCCCTTCCTTCCACACTGAGCCAACGGCACCCAGCCGTCAACTGGAAATGCCAGGTTTGACCTGCATGGTAGCACTAAGTGACAAAACCTGCATTTAGGGGGTGTCTGGGTGGCTCAGATGGTTTAGCATCTGCCTTCAGCTCAGGTCATGATCTCCAGGACCTGGGATTGAGGACCACGTTGGACTCCCAGCTCATTAGGGAGCCTGCTTCTCCCTCTCCCTCTCCCCATCCTCCTGCCTGTGTTCTCTCTGTCTCTCTCTCTCAAATGAATAAATAACATCTTTCTTAAAAATAAAAAAACCTGCATTTAATAAAATCTCAAGACAGTTTTAAACAAAAGAAAAAAAGATTTGAAGGAAAAGACTAAAATCGTAATGTTGATTTTCTTTGTGGGCCTGGGAATACAGTCCACTTCTGTTTTGCCCAAATTGTCCACCATAAACATGGTCTATGTTATAATGAGAAAAAGAAATATAAATGAAACAAAACTAAAACCTATATGTAAACATGCCTGGAAAGGACCTCACTGATTGAAGCTGCGGTTGCCTCACAAGAAGTGATGCTGTTGCCTTGTGTCACCTCTGTCCTGAATGGTCACTTCACTCTCTCCTGCTTCATAGAGAGCATCACAAGGGAGGGACATGGCACCAGGACGCTGGACCCAGAGGTTGGTCTTGGAAACCATCTGTATGTAAATTCCAGAGAAGGATCAGGTCCCTCATGGGTCCTGGAGCAGCCCTGCACAGAACATGGAGGGCGGGGAGGTGGAGTCCTTGAGGGTCTGGCCCTGGGGACCCTAGGGAGAGGTTGGGAAAGGAGCCCTTCTTCCCAAGAAGGATGTTCTATTAACAGGGGAAAGGGGCGGAGGGAGGATGCCAGACAAAGAAAAGCAAAGGACCATAAGGGTCTATACTTGTCTTTGATTCAGGTGTCGGGCTTGGCGCATGTTCAGAAGGATGTGGGCCATCTGGGCTCCTGAAGTGCTGAAGCCATAATGGGAACCATTACAACCCAAATCTGAAGGGCTTCAGGACCACGGAGCTCACTGCCCCTTCCTGGGAAAGGCCATGGGGGCCTTTTGGGGTCTTCAGTCATGAATTCAGACAAGGCTGAAAGTGTCTGCCAAAGTCCCACCACAGGGAGTCGGCTCTGCCTCCTGCAGGAGGGAAGAAACCAGAACACGGGTCACCTCCTGGGGCCACAGTGAGACTCTGTCAGTGCAAGGTCCCGGGAGCCACAAAGACAAGCTTTGGGACCTTTTTCTTAGTGTCTCAGTGAAGGGCACTTGGGAACAGGCTCCTCGCCCCCTCTGGGCGGCACTGCCCATGGTACAAAGCCCCCTCCTGGGCTGCCCTGGGCGGCCCAAGGTCTCCATATGGACAGGAGCTTCCCAGGGTCCAAAGCCTCTGTGAAATGTGCTGGAGGCCACCATGGGAGTTCTGACTGGCTCCAACTCTGGACGGCACATTTTGAAAAGGAATTAAAACTATAGGTGGAGATTCTGGAGGACAGTTTGCAGAAGAGGTTTAATTACAACTTAGGAGTCTCTGAAATGACAAAACCACATTTGGCCCCATTGATGTCCAGAGTCCATATGGGTTTTACTAAACCTTGATGGTGTGGCCCTAGAAAAGCCCCTACAAGGTGAGAGTCTGAGCTCGCTCTTCCTACATGCACAACAGCGACGTGCCTGCCAGGGGAAAATATGAGAGTGTGGTCAGGAGAGCTGAGCTTCAAAAGGAAGGCCGTAGTGAAGGGAAAAAGATAGTTCCAGGCTGGAAGATGGAAACGATCTGGGGATGGATGGTGAGGATGGTGCCCAGCACTGGGCGTGTGCTCGCTGCCCCTGTGCCGCACAGGGAAATGCAGCTCAAACGAACAATTTTATATTCTATTTTGCTGCAACTTTTTTAAGTAGAGAAAATATATAAAGCTGGAATGTAAAAATATCCAGGTAGCAATAAGGATTGCAGAGGAATGTGCAAGATTACCTTACCCATGGTGTGTGGAACATCCAACAAAGCAGGATCCCCAAAAGGAGGGGAATAGAAAAAAAGATACATTTTGTTTTGGAAGAATTTCATGTTCATTATAAGAAAAAATATTTTCTTTAAGATGGTATCATAGGAAGAACAGATAAGAATTTTGTTTGGCATCTTTTCTCTTTTTCTTTCCTACACAATTTTCCTCCTTCAGTTTCAACTCATACTTGGGATAGCGCCATATCTTTTCAGGACTTCAGATTCTCGAGGATGTAATCAGGCCAAACTTTATGAGGAGTAATGTCGTCTGATTGATTATCCCCCAGATGTTTGCTGAGCACCTATTATGAACACTTGCCCCCCGGGCTCACAACAAGGACACAGAGACAGGTGACCGTGTACCTGCTCCCCCAGGCCAGTCACGGGGCTCAAGCCAACAGCCGCCTGAAAAATGGGCTCCTGGGGGCTCTTTCCAGAGACTGCAGCTGTGCTCTGTCTACCACCTGAGGGTGAGGTCCGACTTTATCTTTACAACGAAAAGTCACGCACTGCTGAGAGGCTGGAGCCCCAAACCCCTTGGGCACGGAACTCAGTGACTTCCAGATGTGGGCCAGGAGGGGGACAGAGGGCAGGTCCCAGCTGAACACCCTGGAGGAGGGAGGGCCAGAGAGGA